TAATAACACAGGAAACCAAAAGTTCAAGCGACCGCAGCTCCCAATCATCTGTTCGGTAGCCTACGGTCACAAAAAATACATCCAGTAGCCAGAACGTGCGCAGGTATTGAAACACCGTCCCCCTTTGGAGGGACCGGCCTTGGGATGAGGCGATAATGAAGGTCTTCCTCAGTGACTCCCGCACTGCATATGATGCCCTTCCGGCTCGAACATTTCAGTCTCGTCACGCAGAACAATGCTCAATTCAGTCAGAGGGAAAAAACACTAGAGGGAAATACAGCGGCCTAAAAAAGGAGAATTGGAATTGAAACCAAACAATACATGATTAGCGTTTGGAAGGATCCTCTATATATCGATAAGAAATAATTTAAGGAGGAGCGTGCAGCAAAACATAAACACAGATGCATTCACACTCACACGTCGGTAATTGGTTCCTGAGATTGTGTGTGCGCTTCCTTTCTAGTTCTTTGTGGCTCAAAGTTCTTCATAAACGAGTAGCGATTGTCTACAACAAGTCAATTAAGTTAAACAATGCACTGATAAGCAGCGCTCAATGAGCTCCAAACCATGACATTACGAAAGAAATTATTCTTATAGCAAATGTATGCCTTCAGAAACCGTAAGCGCACATTAAAGAGTTAAACTGCTACTCGAAATTTTGGGTAGAATAAATGCTTTTCGAGATCAAACCTAAATGCTTTTCAAACGTCGTAGCAGAGGTGGAAGCCGCTTGCTTCTTGATTGCGTGGTAAAAGTAATACCCAGGCACCTAGAAGTCGTCCTGAGCGTCATATAATCAACGCCAGAGATGGATTATATTTTCCTAAAGCGACGATGACGCAACGCAGCCCAGCCGTTCCCACACTCGCGGGCTAATCAGGGTCTGCATGATAAACGTAATGAGTTCCCCTTCGCTTCCTGACCGCTTTGCTGGAGGGTAGCACAGACACGAACTGCATTAGTCGTTTAGGTAGACTTTTACTTAAACTCAAGGCAATTAAAACGTAAAATTATGCAGTCAGATAAAAATTAAGTAATTTCATGCATTCTGGAATCTTACGGCCATGAATGACTGATGATTTCGAGCTACCCAGTTATAAAAATGCTAGTAATAAAAATTGATTAAATAAGAAATAAATTACATAAAGTTTAGAATAAGGCATTTCAAGACAAGAAATTGAAGCACCCAGCGATACCAGTGTGCTGGTGAGTGATCACGTCACAACTCCGGGCAAAGAGGCAAGCAAAGCAAGCACCGGCACTATATGATAGTCACCCTTCGCCAGGCAGCAAGCTTCCGTGATCGATATCAGCTTCCAGCGCTCAATTGAGAACAAAAACATCAATCAATTATTAATTGTTCAAGTGATTTAAACATATTAAAGAAAATTTTTCCTCGCACTCCAACATGAGTTGAGATATTCACTTTCTGTGGCAAGCGTTATAAGCTTTGGAACTGCTACGATTTCTCTTGCCCTCGGCGGCAGTAAAATAAATAAAACTGAAAAAGTTGCCGCCCAAATCAGGAAGGGTTCGTGAGGCGAGGGCGGGCATCCACAACGGGCTTGGAATATCCGTGACGCGGCATATCGCCAGCGTTCCGCTTTCACGTGCTTGGGCGGCAATTTTTTTTAGGGAGCATGGAATGGCTGGTGACCCTGTGTTCTTTGTGAGGGAAGGCTCCTTGGGGCATAAAATGCAGCATGAAATGACGAACAGGACTTTCACCCAATCATGCGAGCGCATGCGCATTGACAAGATCTTGTCACGATCAAAAAGTGGACAAAAGTGTCACGATCAAAATTATTGCCAAGTTCTTTTAGGTGTGAAACTTGCATCGGCTAACATTTGATTGCACACTTTTTAACTTTAAACTTTCTTTTGAATGTACCAACTAATTGTTATTAAGGCACTCGGGAACATGTAATATGGCTTGGCCAGCAGATGGAGGAGTGAAATTTGATCACGCCCGTTAAGTTCCAAAAATTTGAAGATAAGATCAAAAAAGTAAAAATTTCTTTGATCGCAGTTCAAGATGTGAAGGATAGTAGAAAGTCTCAAATTAAATTATACAACAGATGTTGGGGCGCGGCTGCTGCGGATTGCGTCTACGTTTCTCAGCGTATTTTTCCTCCCTTCACAACTGAAGCAGAACGAATGAACCCTCGGCCGGACATACCAGGCATCGCAGCGCTGGCTTTCTGGAGCGGACCTTTTAATTTTAGTAGAAAATCTTGATATTAATTAAACTCAAACGTGAGCAGTGATCGGAAAGAAAAAAATATAGTAAGAGTTGGCAGAGTGGAGATGAGTGATAATAACAAAATGGAAAAGTGATCGATAGGAACCTTAATTTAAAGATGGAGGCGGAATTTTTGGCAAAATATTATAGTTTTTCAAAAAAATTTTTGCAAAACATTAAATGTTCTCAACAAATCTGAGGAGATTGTTAAACTGAACGAAGATACCCATCAGCATAAAGATGCCAATAAAAATTCTATTGCACAAGATAAAAGAAACCTGCGTAATAAAATATTTACTCGCTTCTGCCCTTAGTTAATCTAATAAAAGATCTGCAGACAAAACTCCTCACTCAGAAAAATGAATGTCCCATAGTCCTAATGGTGCTACACTTTCTTACCCACAACACGAACAGAGATAAAACATAGAAGTAATACGACCAATATTACAGGGGGCAAAACTGGTTCATGATGACCCATACAACGCAGAAACCGCATCGCTATTTGGCCAAAGTCCCACTCATTTATCTGAGTAGGTCTACGGCGGCTTGTGCCTGTACTAACAGCAGATTGTAGCGCCTGCAAAAACTCGCAACTGAGCCCAAGTGCCAACAGCGACCAGCACAACAAGGAGAGAAAAGCAAGGCGCGTGAACGCTTTCACTGCCCGCGAGTACAGCTGCCTTAAGACAGCTCCAGGTGGGACCAGGATATGTGATAAATACTAGTAGCTATAACCGAAATGGTGTGATGCTTGAGGGTGACAATGTAAGAGAAGTACGAAACAAAATATGTCACTTCATTGACCTTTTACGTAAGAGCTGCAGACCAAAATCATGTTTGTACATTATCCAGGAAAGTAAGAATAGTCATTCCGACTGCCCATTTTGCAGGTAGCAGATGTAATGCATACAAGGTGTGCTGTATAGTGAAACCGAATCAGTGAGCGCACGGCTGTACAGTGAGAATGAACCAGTGAGCGCACGGCTGTATAGTGAAAATGAACAAGTGAGCGCACAGCTGTACAGTGAAAATGAACAAGTGAGCGCACGGCTGTATAGTGAAACCGAATCAGTGAGCGCACGGCTGTACAATGAGAATGAACAAGTGAGCGCACGAGGCGGACAGTGAAACCGAATCAGTGAGCGCACGGCTGTATATAGTGAAACCGTTGACCCACATCGGGCCGCTGTCGCTGCAACGCAATGCGGCCAAGCGTGTCGCACAGCACGTGGGTATACATTTACCCGCGAATCAATCGAAAATTAATCAAACTTGAACGTTAACGAAATTTACGGTCATACTAAAGTATAAAGAAAATTTTGGAGTGTGCGGCTATTATGAACTTCCGTGCTGGAAATCAAATATTGTTATGCAATTATTAGTGTTTTCTATGGAAAACTCGCTAAACAACGAAGTATTAAACAAATAATCAAAACTTATATTTTACATTAATTTCAGCAAAAAGATGGATTGATTTCAGCGGAAAAGGATCAAAAACTTATTATACAAAATTCGCGAAAAAACACTTAATTTAAAAGGAGTCATACTTGAAATTATATCACGTGCAATGAAGTACGGTTGTCCACTGACTGCACGTCGGCTCCCTCTGCAGCAACCGTAATTTCGCCCCCAAAATGGAGCGGCTTAGGCTCGGTTTCTCCCGTCCTCGACTCGTAAACATTCCGGCGAGCAAAAACTAAAAATCTGACTCGTCTAGAAACTTTCCTTGCTGGAACGCGCTCAGTGGAAGAAAATTAAAGAGGATAAGAAACTGAAATGAAATGGCAGCTATATACACATTAAACGCAGAGAAAAATAATATACCAGGAGAAAAAGGCAGTGGGCACATTGATTGAGCGCGTGACTTAACCAAAAGTCAAGAAATTTGTGAGCGGGCAAGGAATACTTTTAAAATGAATAATTCTGAACCATATTTTTCCTACTGAAACATAGAAAAAATCTCTATTTCCCTGCAAAGCTTTTCATCGTAGTTATATTTTCAAAATTTAGAATATTCACGCATATCATCCTAAATATCAGCTTCCATATTTATTAAATAAATCTAAGTGATTAAAGTTCTAATTACGTTAATCGAAAGATAATGGTCAACTTTAATTGCATTCAAAGGACTTTAAGTCGTTGAAAGCAATTTGCATTGTTAAAATATAACTTTTTGCTCTTCAACCGATCCCGCGCAGGTTTTGTTTGCATTCTATGTTATTGCGAATAAATAAGGCAACAATGTTGCAATAAAGTGCGCAAGTATTTTGCTGGACGCAAATTTGGAACAATTCGAACAGCCTTTTTACTTAAGGAGAAATAAGTTTTTGGTAGGTACCTATAGGTAAGAAAGCTTCTATCTGAATTCAAGGATCATTACATAAACTATCGTTTAAATAATAGATTAATAAAATGCACAGTACAATTCAATGCAATATTACCGAAATGTTTTCCAGACATTAGGTCTGGTCTGGAAGAGCATCAGGTGATAAATAAATTTTATTATCAATGAGCCATTAGAAAATTCGCTTCCATATTCATGAAGGAAATGTTCTGAGCTAAACTAATCCAAATGAATTTTCAAATTCAATAGATAGCATCATTTAACTATGCGATTAATGAAGCTTAGAATAAACAAATTTTATATAAAAAAGAATAAAATAAAACGAAAAATACAAAAACAAGATCGACAAAAAGGTTATTTTTGCAAGTTCCGTGCGGCTTGCGTGCTCAGATGCATAAATGGAGCATCAAGTGCCTGAAACGACCACACAAGTGTCGAGACTCGGCTGGTCTGCCGAGGCTCTTGGCTGGTCTGCCGAGACTCTCTGCTGGTCTGCTGGGACTCTCTGCTGGTCTGCTGAGACTCTCTGCTGGTCTGCTGGGACTCTCTGCCGGTCTGCTGAGACTCTGCTGGTCTGCTGGGACTCTCTGCCGGTCTGCTGAGACTCTGCTGGTCTTGCAAAAACAGCGGTGCTACAGATCGGCTGGAAGTGCCGGCCACCTTGTGACCATCTTTCAGGTCCCAAAGAGTCAACTTCGGCTTGAGATCACAATAAAGTTGACCGAATATACTCATCTTGTTAACCTCATGTCGAGCAAGAATGAGCTCGATCGTGTTCCCTCCCAAATGTAGGAAAATGATTATTATGATCCTTTTCCTGATTATTATATCACCATCAGCCTAGATGACTCATAGGATCCTGCTCGATGAGATGAAGCCAATTTAATTTTGCCCTTCATTTCCTAGGTAAGGTCAACAATTGATTCGATAAGTTGATTATCAATTAAAATGGAGAAAAATAATGTTCCGATGGACATATTTTCCAAATATATCAGAATTATTCATGCTTAATAGAGCCAGCACTCAACCCTGTATGTTTCCTATAAAACTTGGGTACATCATCTTGATTAATGACACAATTTGAAGGCAGTGTGCAAGACATACACGAGTCTCATCTTTATTAAATAAATTGTAGTGACTAAAGTTCTAATTACGTAATTCGAAAAAGAATGGTAAACTTTAATTATATTCAATGGACTCATAGTTGTTGAAAGTAATTTGCAAAAAGTAAAGAAGAATTCACATCAACTCCCCCCGGCATCAGCGACAGTGCCGATTTGTCTTTGTGCATCTCTAATTTACTTACTGAATGTGAAACGCAATATTCCACAATCAAATATTCCTACAGTAACTGCATAATACTTGTGGAATTTCTTCGCCGAATGCGCATTCTTTTAAGTATAATGCACAAGAATTTTAGAAGAAGCTCTTTTCATCAGATAAATTATTTTATAAAGTGAGGTAATTGGAGAACATGGAAGCTGTCGGGGAGCTTGCATCAGGAAGGGATCTTCTCATCATGTATTCTGCCGGAGTACAGACCTTGAAGGCAAACAGACAGAAGCAAACTTCAAATAAGCTCCTCAAATTAACTCCACATCTGCACGACAAGCAAACTCCACATCAGCACGACAAGCAAACTCCAAATCAGCACGACAAGCAAACTCCAAATCAGCACGACAAGCAAACTCCACATCTGCACGACAAGCAAACTCCACATCAGCACGACAAGCAAACTCCACATCTGCACGACAAGCAAACTCCACATCAGCACGACAAGCAAACTCCACATCTGCACGACAAGCAAACTCCGCATCTGCACGACAAGCAAACTTGACATCTGCACGACAAGCAAACTTGACATCAGCACGACAAGCAAACTCCACATCTGCACGACAAGCAAACTCCACATCAGCACGACATGCAAACTCCACATCTGCACGACAAGCAAACTTGACATCAGTACGACAAGCAAACTTGACATCAGTACGACAAGCAAACTCCACATCTGCACGACAAGCAAACTCCACATCTGCACGACAAGCAAACTTGACATCAGTACGACAAGCAAACTCCACATCTGCGCGACAAGCAAACTTGACATCAGTACAACAAAGTCCTCGTCATTACATCAAGCAAATGTATACAAAATTCATTGAAATACTAATGAAAGATCTCAAGAACACACGTCGCGAACGCACAATTCGATATGTCACGACATAAAATTTCGGAGCGAATCTTAAATGAATTCTACCACTGATCAAAATAATTTTCTCACTTTAACACAGCTTGCACTCCGTATGTTGTTGTATTAACCAAAATTCTTATGCAGGGATGAAGACATCATACGACACCTATTTTTAGTAGGAACATGTTTTTTCGAATAGCCCAGAGAAGTGGCGAATTTTCGCACTGCAGGAGTCGTCGCCCTACAAATCATTGGAGCACAGAGCTGTAAACACAGCCTGGAGTAGACATACGATGTTTTAATCGCTGGTCCAGAAGACATGTCGTCAACCGCAAACTCCTAAGAAAAACTCGGGCAGATATAGGAGAGCTGGTGCAGCAACTACCTACATATACACATCCAGGCCTGATCCTCTCCTTCGGTCACACTATCTCTGGCATCTTGCAGGCTCGAGAACACCTATAATCAGCAAGCCCCTCATATCAGCAATTTGAAGGTCAAAACAGCTAGTTCAAAATGCGACGATAAACAGTAAATTCATTTTCGATGACATCTTTCTTCTGAAATGTGAGAACATTTATTAACTATCTTGCTCAAAAACAGATAAATATGAATTTAATCACAGAAACTGGCTAAATTCGAGACATGAATTTTTAACAACGCGGTTTCTTTCCTTAAATCGTGATACGTTGCTAGCCTCATCGAGACAAATGGCGGGAACCATGACCCTGAAACGTACGTGTTCAACGCCTGCGTCCTTGGGAAATCATCCTGAAGTTCGGCGAGCTGGAGAGCCGCAAACCAGGCGATGATGTCAGGCGAGTCTCCTTTTAAATGATCTTCATAACCCGACAGAATATAATGAATTACTCGCCCCACACGCAACATAAGACGCCGAGTTTGCTGGTGCTCCCCATAGAGCTGCTTCACTGAAATGCAATTTTTGCACACTTCGTCATCGTGATAATTATTTTCATCTATTGGAGCCAGACTAAATGATACAGTTCTCCGTAATCTTACATTGAATGACTTCTACTGAATGACGCGCGACTTTGTGTTTAAAAACGACTGAAAGATCCGAAATTTAAATACTACCACACTTCACTATCTTTAGCTAAACTAAAGAATGAACTTAACGTAACTGAACCATGTAAATTTATTTTTCACTTGTCATGAATTTAGGCTCGATTTTATAGGTTAGTTTTGAGCGACCTTGGTAGTACGACTCTTCAATGACTGACAAGTGCGACAGAAAAGAAAAAAATCACGGGCGCACAAATCAGTCGTAACGATCCCAGGCAGCACAAAAATTCCTGTAAATATGAAGGCTCGCAAAATTCATGGCTAGTCATTGCTCACTAATTGAATAAAGCGCTGTCAATCACTTCCTTTATAAATCTGCCAGCCGAGCAGCAAAATCGTTACCGAAGTACTCGGTGTTTGCGCTATAAAATGAGATTCTCAGTAACCTTAATTTCAGTTAAGTATGAGTTCTAATTACTGTCGGGTGCGGAAATGACATGAAACTGCAGCAGTGAACGTATATATAGGACTAGAATATTACGGAGGCGTAAAGACCTCGTCCCAATTTTTTGACAAAGCAGCTTTGCTATTGGAAATAGATTTAATCAATGCTCAGGCGTAATATCTTGGTAAATTAAGCGGAACGCGCCTAATTAATCTAGAATTCTAAACATGATTTGAAAATTGAATTAAATTAAAGGTAGTGCGTTCTTTTCATAGATGAGTGCTTCTATATGCCGGTAAAGTCGACATTGTTAAAGCTGAGTTAATACATCGCACTGCTTTGTCACGGGCCAGGTGCGCAGACGCGGCGCTCACTACAGGGAAGTTCTGGACGATAAAATCCTATACGAGGAATTAATTACCACCCTCGTCGTCAGTGAGCTGTCTGGGCCACACGGATGCAGTTAAAGAGGAGCAAAAAAGGAGCAAAATGCTTCCAGAAAACTCATTTCGTCCTTAATGCATTGGAAATACGGAGGAATGTGGGACTCATAGATCTGTTTTTTTGTGATCAAGTGTTAACTTGAAAATTGAACTTTGTCCAATTATAATTGAAAATTTTCAAGGTAAAAGCCTCGACGATCGAAGGCAATCAACTAATTCAGAAATGAACTGAAGTCGAAAAGCAGTGCTTAACATTAACTTAATATAACATAATCTAATATTATTGCAGTGTCTACCCAGACATCGATGATACAGGCCCTTGGGTTACAAGCTTTTATCCATTACGAGAGAACTAAATAATTCCGTAAGCCTCTTCTTCTCGGCACCACGTCACTGGCAACTCAAAGGACGTCGTGAGCGTTGACCTGCGGCTTCATGGAAGAACTTCTCGCTGGGTTAAAGTGACGTCCGAGAAGCGGCAGATCGGGGGCAAATTACTGCAGTTTTTAGACGCCGACTCATGGCGCTCGCGGCGGTATGAGCACCTTGCCGGAGGACCTGGCAGAGGCCCACCCGCAGCTATTCCTTACCCGCAGCCATTTTCCAACAGCCAGAATTACCCACCAGCACCAATTCCCCCCCCCCCCCCAGCCATTCAGCAACAGCCACAATTCCTCACCAGCACCAATTCTCACCTGCAGCCATTCCCCAACAGCCATAATTCCCCACCAGCATCAATTCCCACCCGTAGTAATTCCCCACCCGAAGCCACAATTCCCCACCCGCAACAATCAGCCACCAGCACCTGCCAATAAGCCGGTAACGAACAGCAAGAATGAGCTGAATTCCAAAGATTTGTGCCACTGGTCAGTGGCACCAACAATCAGTTACCAGATAATCAGATTGCAATCAGTTACCTACGGCAAATCATAATCTGTTAATCACAATCCTTGGCTACGAGTAACAGAGCAACCTAGTGTATACATACAAAGCTTTGGAGTGGCTTTGCAAGCACCAATCATGGTTGCGAATAAGCTCAATAGCCCCTAATTTACAGTACATTGCATCTTTTCACTCTGAGCTATAAAGATAGGTAGCTTGCAAGCATGATTCACCAGCACCTATGAGACTATATTGAAAAACATTCAAGTGGTTAACAGGTGTTCTCGCTGTGCAATAAATCCTGAGGAGCAAAGTGGAGATAAGATCCTCCATTGTATATAGAAGGTTAGCTTGTATAGAAGCCAAGGAGGATGAGGACTAACGGCCCCTGGACAGCGAGGTCACGCTGACGGGTCAGCCAGGTCAGCTTATCGCTGAGCGTGAAAGGGAGTCTACCAAGTAAAAGTTTGCTGAACATCTGCGATGCCAAGCAACTCCTTGCATCGAAAGTACAAGTGAGGGCTACATTATACCGATAAAATAAACATAAAGTGTTGTCAACAGCTGCCATCAATAAAGTAACGAACGGAAAATTTACTAACGCTTGGCTGTTGGCAAATGAGCAACTGTTTTGAATCGCAAAGAAAGCGATCGTCATGAGAATTTTAGGGATCCTGGAAGATTGATATATTGCGCTGACCAATCAAAGTTAGTACAAGCAATTACGAATTGAATTCGCAAAGCTTTATGTATT